AAGACTTACCAGGAATATGTGAAATTGAAAATGAACCCTGCCGCGCAGAAGGCTGCCACGCGCATTATTGACGACTGCGCGAGCACCGTGAAAACGGTGTATTCCAAACTCAACTATGGAAATCCTGGAAATATCGCCGTTTCCTTTGATAAGACTTGGCTGACCAGGGGCCACTCATCCCATATTTGTGTAGGGACCGTGATTCAACTATTCACGGGATATGTGCTTGACTTCGTCGTCCCATCGAACTTTTGTTTGGGCTGCCAGCTAGGGCCGAAGGAGGACAAACCAAGGTATGCCGAGTGGCTAGCTGGTCACACTTGCCAAAAGAATACCTCCAGTAAGCCAGGACAAATGGAGGTGGAAGCAGCACATATTTTATTTGGCCGCTCATTGGAGAGACATGGGCTCCGCTACACAACCATGTTGTGTGATGGAGACAGCCGGGCCTTCAACAGTCTGTAGGAGGCACAGGTATATGGCTTCGTGCCAATAGAAAAAGAGGACTGTGTCAACCATGTGCATAAGCGCATGGGCACAGCACTTCGAAACGTCCTGCAAAAACAAAGAGCCGAAGGAAAGCCAAGCCTTGGCGGCAAGGGCAAACTGACAGGCGAGCTGGTCACAAAGTTCACGTCATATTATGGATGGGCTTTACAAAGCAACCAAGGAAGCATTGAGGCCATGAATAACGCTGTCTGGGCAACCTTTTATCACGTAGCATCTACTAATACAAGCCCTCAGCACTCTCACTGCCCAACTGGTGAAGAGTCATGGTGCAAGTACAACAAGCCTGTCGCCAAGCAGGAGACTCCTCCGAATCATCGCTACAACCTGCCAGAGTATGTGATTGATGCCTTGCAGCCTATTTACACGCGCCTCTCTGACAAGAAATTGCTGGAGCGTTGTCAGCGAGCCAAAACACAGAACCCAAACGAGAGACTGCACTCCGTCATCTGGTCGCTCGTGTCCAAAAACAAACACGCGTCGCTTTTCACCGTTGAAGCTGCTGTGGCCGAAGCTGTCGCAAGGTTCAACGCTGGCAAAGGGAGACCAGATGCCGCCATATTGAAGGAGCTGCACCTGCAGCAGAGTGTTGTGGCCGCTGAAAGATGCTCAGAAAAGGACAGTCGCCGACTAGTGGCATCGGAGAAGAAGCATGAGCATGCTGAAAACTTCAAGCATGCCATGAAAAGAAAGTGCACCAAGGAGAATGATGATGGCTACATTCCTGGTGGCTTCTAACATGGTTAATACACCGATTCACACCTTTTCTAGTTAAATATAAGTGCTCAGCATGTTCTTAAACTTCTTTTCTCGTTTTCTCAAAACAACATTTTTCATCACACCCTAAGCCATTGCCCACAGTATCTTTTGATGTAGCAGTCGGATTTTGATAATTCTTGCAGCATTTGAAAGCTTATACATTGATTAGTGCAAGAAAACCAAAAAATGTAATATTTTTATTTACAATAGTGATTTAATTAGCAACAAACTTAAGCAACAGTTTCAGATTTTTAATGAGTATACTTGTTAAGGACATGACTCTGGTACCAATGAAGCTAAAAATAAAATTATGGTTTTGTTACACTCCCTGGCCTTCATGGAATGCTGTCATATCAAATTTGTAGCAATATTTTATGAGGAAGATGTCAAAAGGCTGGGCAGAATGCAAGTTTATGTAACAGTCAATATTTAAAAATCTAAAAGTGATAGCAAAAAACTAATTGCATATTTGTTTTCAGCTGTGAAAAAAACATATTGTATTAAATTTCAGCTGGAAATACTGAAAATTAAAAAAAACTTTATCAGACCAGTGTCTCCCCTTAATAAAGTTATTTCCTCCTGCTCCGGCTTGCTGATGGTTCAGCAATAGGATAAACACACTCAAACTGGCAGCCATAATAAATTGGTAACAATTTCGATAAAATGAAAATTTCCCTGATGCCTTCCCATTACCGTATTTACTCGATTCTACCGCGCCCTCGATTGTAAAGCGCACCCGATTTCCACCGCGAAAAAAAAAAAAAAAAGTAAGACATCGATTGCAACGCGCACCCATTTTCCTCGTTGGCCCGCACAATCACACCACTCGAAAAAACGACTCCTTTCGGGAGCGTCTTCCATTTAAATATAGGGTACGGGCGAAGCTTGTGCCCATCTGACGTGTAACAGAGCGTTGGCGTCACTGTAGTTTTACCGTGGACCGATGTCAGCACGCGAACTTCCTTCGCCCCCTTCTTCTCGATGATTGTGGTGCCAGGCATGTCGAAGTAAAGAGGCGTCTGATCGGCATTCCCGATTTGCGTAAGCAGGTAGCTGTTGTTGTGCCGCAAGTTTTTTTGGACGAACCTCTGAAAACTGTGAAGCTTTTCATCGTACTCCTCCGCAAAACCTTTCGCATATGCCCGTTCGCCTTCGGAGGGAAAAGCCTTTTCTCTTCATAAAGTTAGTTAGCCAGCACCTGCTGCTCGCTTTAAACTGGCTCCGCATTAGACCTTTTTCTAAGGCTAATTGCATACTCCGCACTTGGAACAGTTCTGTCGTCACGGGCCGCTGTGCCCCTCGCTGCTCAAGCACGTACTCCCGAGCAGCTCTTTAATTTGCGGAAACCGACCCTGCTGTGGTCCAGTGAAGCCTTTGCGTGAAGCTTTGCTGTCGACAATCTTCTGCTTTTGTTTCCACCGGTCCCGCACGCATGTTTCGGGAACTCCGAACGACCGCGATGCGGCCCGATTTCCGTTCGTTTCTGCACACGCGATGACTTTTCTTTTAAAAGCAGCATCGTGGTGCACTCGAGTTTTTGGAGTCGGCCCTTCCACGCCGTCGATGCTAATGCACTACTAGATGCCGAACTCCTCAGCACACGTACGAAGTGCCGCACATGGGAAACACATAGGCAGAAATGGCTGACGCGCCATGCCGACGCACGTAGGGGGCGGCCATTTTGGATTTGCCGATGGCAATAGATTGACCGTAATTTTTTTGTTCGTACTCGATTCTAACGCGCCTGTGATTTATGAACTCGCTTAACCGGAAAAAAGGTGCGCGTTAGATTTGAGTAATTACGGTACCTTTGCTGGCAACTGCTGGGCACACCCTCTCTCTAAACAGCCTAATTAAGGCAAACCATGGAACTGCATATATCTAAAAAGGTCAACTGAAAGCAGGCTACATTTTTCTTGCTAGAAAATAAGGATGTCCTTACCGCATTTTGCAGCTTTGACATTCATGCGTTAATTTTAGGCTTTGAACCTATAAAGGCTGTGCACATTAGATTCTGGTAGATGTTCCAGTGTATTTTTATAAAAGCTGTGCACAGTGATTCCAGATGGTGTTCCGGAAGGTGTGTCAGTGTATACAACATGAAAAGTACACTAGAACTTCATTATGACGAACATGAAATAAAAATTAAATTAAATTTCTTTTTAAATGCCTGAAATGCTCTGCATATTTCAAACCTCAAAGTAAAATTGCCCTGTCACTAGATATAACAAACTAAATTGATTGCAGGCTATACTCAGTGCAGGCTATATCACTCCCCATGATGTTTGGCCCTCTTTTAGTGCTTTGAAAACCTCATTCTTGCATAAATTTCACCTTTGAGCAACACTGGCCTCTCTACTCATCACTCACATGGCTATGTAGCAGTACCACAAGCCACATCGCAATTTTTTTGCATGTTTAATGTAGACCACCCCACTGCACCAATACATCTGTGACCAAAGTATACGGACCATTGTAGACCAGCCCACTGCACCAGTACACCTGCAACCAAAGTACACGAACCATTGCCGTCTGTATAACTTTGCCATCAGCGCAGTCTTGTGGTGAGCCGTTTGCTGTAAAAAGCATTTTTCTGATGAATTCGGTCAGTACTGTTCTCAGTAGCTAAGTCATCAAAGCAATGCTATGGACACAGTGGCTCGCGACTAGACAGTGTATACGACGATCTCTGCTTGTGCTTCCGTGGTCCGTATACTTTTTCTCACAGCTGTACGCTATTTCAGTAAAGGCCAATAACTTATACAATAGAACCTTTCTGACATGTTCCTGCTCCTATGCTCCCAATCGCAAAAACTAAATATACCCCAAAGAGCTGCATGTAACACCTCCTGGTTAATGCGTTCCCAAAACTATGATGAGTTGGCAGCAACGTTCAGCACCTTGGGAAAAACTGCAATCGTGTAATATGTTCCACAGCCAGAAACTCTAATTCAGGTTTGCCCCCTTAACGCTTTCTCTGCCTTGCCCCTTTGCATCTTTTCAGAAATACTTAATCACTGCTCTCTGTCAACCAGACTCCGTCCTGAAGGTACACAGTGATGCTGGCCATCAAATATTTCAAATAGCATTAAAAAATGTATTTTCTGTAGCAGTTGGCACGATTTTGCTCAGCATTGCAAATCTTTCATCTGTGACACGGTACACAGATGCACACTCGTTCTACACACTTTTGTTCAGACAACAGCCTGGGCAAAAAAGTGGTGCAAAAAATATGGCACAAAGAACAGAGGCTGTAACTCCTCTAGGCCACTAAGATTTGGCACAAAACCTGTGGTTTTAGAGAAATAAATGTTTTTTGATCTTGCACCTCAATATGGGCTTGTCAGCCTCAACTTTTACAGGATTTGGTTCATACGGTTTCCTGAATCGTATGTTTAGTATTTTCGTTCTTGTCAGAAATGTATAGATGATGTTTTACTGAACTATAACAAAGCAATGCATGTAACGAATATTGGCTCCCCTTTCAACTTCATTAAAACGTCGGGAACTCGCAATCAAAACCGTGGTGTTTCAGCACTTTTTCAGAATCTTGCATCACTGGACAACGTGACCAATGTCATCAACTGCACTTGGGTCAAATTCAAAAGACTCAGCTGCATATGCTGAATTTCTGTTACTTTTCACAGTTGGTTGCTTTATATATGGCCTTATACCAGGTATAATGGGCAAAGCAAACTTGTCCACTAGAACAATAATAGGCACAAGGCACTCACCAGGGTGCTTTGATGTATAGTTACAGGCCTGGCAATGATATGGACGAGTTTTGTCATGGCTTCGCATGTGGCTGGTCAGGGAGCTACGCCGCTCACAGGTGTATGAGCATTCAGAGCAGCGCAGACTGCCTTCGCGGTGAGTTGTGTTGTGAAGCCGTAGTTCCCGCTTTGATGAGCAGGAAAATGAGCACTGGTTACAACGAGCAGGCTGGTCAGCACTATGCATCGCCCGTTCATGGGACCGCAGGTTGCCTGTGGAATAAAAACAACACTTGTAATCTTACATTACAGAGCCAAATTGCAAAAGCACAGTGGAACTTGAAACAGTATACCAGAACACCACGGCTACAAGTAGACAGGTGCAAAGTATGCATATGACACAAAGGAGATGGCACAAGCGCAGCCAGTCTTTAGGTATCTCTAAAGCACAATGACCAACTATTCTAAGATTGCATGCCGTTCAATAGTTTCATTCATTAAAGAGGCATAATATTTAAGTAGTAGGAATACCCTAGGCTTAGGTGTCACACTGGAACTAAACAAAACGTGGGCGGGATAGCCAAACAAGTGTTTACATGCTTGCAAGAAATCTTGAGATAATTTTCAGCAATTAAGCTTCCTTGATGGTAAGTGACTGCTATGCTGCAGTCATGACACAATTACAATAAGAGTGAACTGTGTGGGTTGCAATAAACATAGCAAGCTAGGACAACTTGATGAGATGGTGCTTTAAAGGGTCTTTAGGTAGAAGCTTCACGGCACCGATTTCAGTGGCAGCTGCACAACAGTGCAGTTCTTTTGTTGTTTCTTCAATCATCTCACTGCTGGTTTGAGACTGTGTTTTGAATTGACACACAAAAAATTACTAGTGCCCAATAAGCCACTATCTCTTCAAGTGCTAGCTTTTTTAATAAATGAAGTTATGTGAGCTGAACTTGTCTTTAGCTGTCTTATACAAAGGGTATTCATTTTTTCCCCCTTTTTTGGATGATTGGCAATGGGACAGACAAGCTTCAGGCAAGAGACCAAACACTGCAAACATTTACTCTGACAAGCAAAATTATGTGAGTACATATCTTTGATGCACATGTTAAAAACATGAAGCCTCACAAACCAAAAAAAGTATTACTTTCCATTGAAAATTTGGTGCGTTAGTGTTTAGCTTCATAAAACATGTTTAAAAATGTGAACAAGTTACATGCATGTATTATGCACAAAGGTTAAAGCCTTCTGCTCACTTTTTATGAAAATCTTCTTTTGTTCTCTTTCCATTATATAATACTGATGCTCTGTTTATTAACCACAATTCAAAATTTTTTATAGTGTGCATTTTAATTAATGAACAAGTATTTACAGCTACTCAGTGCTCATAAATATATGCATAATCAAGGTAGAGTAGTGGAGTGCACTAAGTAACAGCGATAAACTGAAAACTCCTTCCTCCCAGTACGAAGTCATGTTATTGACTACCTTTACAAATTGTCACAGATAAATGCCCCAAAATTAAGGTGAGCAGAAGTATATTAAAATCTTAGTTTCAACCACCGAGGCAAAACAGTCTAGTAAAAAAAGAAAAGCAGAGAAATTAACAGCACTTTTCAATTAAAATGAGAAAACAATACCAAAAAGGCAAATACAAGTAGACATGAAAAACAGCTTGCCACGTTAAATATGCGAGTTTGGCATTCACTTCAACTTGGCTTTTTTTTATTTTATAACTAAAACATGAAACTTTCACTGCACACTTTTTTACTTCATTATTCAACAGTTGCGTGCAGGCAAATGCATCAGATGAATCCATCAGATGAAGTATATGAGGCCATGTATTTTAAGTAAACCTTGTGATTGTAAGCAATATGAAAAGCTTGAAAGACCAACTTTAATAGTGTGCAAAATTTAAGAAGCCTGTGTTTATATTCCTAGACTGAATTTAACAAATCACAGGCTAATTTACAGTGAAACCACAATTATAATCAGGATGCAGCTGCTTACTTCGTATTTCACCTATGTAATGTGCATGCGGGTGTGTTCAGATAAGATAAGAAAATCCGGCAACTTCCCTCAATGTCATTGGAAAAATTATATACTGCTGCTGAAGTCCCCAGAACCCCGGCACTAATATTAGTTGGGAGAAAAAAAAAAAGCTTTGCCTCCGTCAAAAGTTTTTGCTGGGCCAAAACAGCTCTTTGCAAATAGCCCGAAAATAGAATTTTGATGAGAATCCTTCGAAAATTCATTAGAGTTGTGGGACTCAAAATTTTTCTTTACATACTCTGAATAATGTGAATTTATAAAATGTTAATAATCTAGAACTTCGATGCTTTTATTTTGTGAAAAAAAAATCACAAATATGGCACACTGTTCAACAATGCTGCATTTTCCTTTTTTTTGCACTGTGTCTATAGTAGTCAGGATTTTCAAAATTTGCCAGAGTGTTTCCACACATTAGGCTAACAAATGTTGAGGATGGTGACAAATGTAAACCAAAAATGCCTAAATAAAGTCATGTCTACAAAAATGCAATATTTTGTAAATCAGTAAAATACCACCTTCAATTTTTTTTAAACTCCCCAGAAGTACAGCCAGCATGCATTCCAACCTATACTGTAAAAATATGTTGCATTATTTGTGTGGAATTGAAGTACAATGCCACCAATGTGACCAAATTTATGTATATGCTCTACCACTTAAATGAGTGACCATATACCTATACCGTATTTACTCGCGCAATCCTCGCACTCGCACAATTCTTGCACCCCCCACATCGCTCAACAAAAATACGATTTCTTTTTTTCCTCGAGTAATTATCGCACTCCCGAAAACTGCTGCAATAATGTCGTCTGCTCTTTCCAGCCACTGATGATGATAGCACACGTCATCTGGCGCCATCTCTTAAGCATCAAGCGCACTATTGCACAGAGATTCAATCCAACTCAAGCCAAGCCGAAGTGGCCAGTGCGTGTTGCAGCGTGTTTTGTATGTTGCGTCGGTAACCTTGTCAACTTATGAGGCGATACTGAAGCTGTACGGCTGCTTTCAAGTTGCAAGTGATAGACAATGCACTAAAGAACGGCAACAGGGCCGCCGGTAGGTCCTTGGGATTGATGGTAAACTTTATTTCTTAAGAAGGAAACTGCGGACAATTCTGTTAAATAGCCATCAGCCCAATGCTGACGTCCCACGCTTACCTTTTAAGGGCTTCTGTTGAGCGACGAACGCTACCGCTACGCCCGCAACGTTCGCAAGCTTTGCGTATGGTATTCTAATTCTCGACTATTTGCTTTCACTTTTTGTGTCTCAATTAAATCTTGTCTTTGTTGAACCTCTGCTTTTATTGTTGAGGTAAGTTTTAATTAGTACTTCTTAAAGCTTGCTGTTAGTTGTTGGTGTGAGAATCCCGATTTGCGGCCACTTCGTTTTCTTTTTCTCTCTGTACGTTTTCGTAGAAAGTTTTCCCCGCGTAATTCTCGCATCCCCCAACTTTTCATCGGTTTTCCAGCAAAAAAAGTGCGAGGATTATGCGAGTAAATACGGTAGTTGCCATTGTCATAATTTTTAGGTTGTAAATATGTTTCTCGAGTTCATGAAACAATAAATGGACAGAGAAAATTGAAGAGTTGCTTTAAATTGTGAACTTGCACACATGAGTGTTTGTATGCATTTCGTTGTGTGAATTAAGTAATTCGCTTCAATTTTTTCACCCTAATAAATTGGTTTTAACCAAAGAAAATGTCATAAATTTCTGCCACAGAAGAAGTGATGGCTCATTTTAAACAATTTATCTGGGATTCCGTACTGATATTTTGTATATATTTCAAGGCACAAAACAAATTACGTGCCTTGAAAAGCTATGTTAGGAGAACCTGCTATTTATAAGCCAAAATACAAGTCAGCTGTTTTGATGTCATGAGCAGGACAATTTTCTAAGGCTAGCATGGGAACCTTGCCTAGATGATGCCTGTACTTAACACGCTCTCTCAGTTTTCGGCCGACCATGGCAGCCGCATTTTCAATAGATTCGAACATGCTTGAGGCTCATGTGCTTAGATTTAGGTACACATGAAAGAACCCCGAAATTTCCAGAGCCCTTTACTATGGCATCTCTCATAATTATATCGTGGTTTTGGCACGTTAAACACCAACAATTGTTATATGATTTGTAGCAAAGTCCACTTTGAGAGAATGTGACAAACACATGTCACATTCTCTCATTAAACAGCTTCTAAACTGAGTTAAGGCATCACTGTCTTTGCTAGAGAACTGCTGAACATCAGTTAGGTAAAAAAACATTCAAAGCTTTTAAAATCTCAAACTACGCACTGTAGTTTGTTCCTTACAAATGAACTCATGTCACACCAATCTCTAAGATGGGAAGCTCTTGATAGGGTGCGCAGAATTCAAAGTGGATGAAGTGCACAGAATTCAAAGTGTGCGCCGTGAAGCAAGATAAAAACTAATAATAGAGCTAGCTTGGGCGTGAAAGAACAAGAAATGACTGAAGGGCCAATAGAATGTAGTCACAACGATGGTTGGTCGCACACGAGGAGAGAGAAAGAGGAGTTGCAGTGGTGGCAGGAGGAAAACGAACCACGCATCAGGGCGGACGGGTTTCAGACCCGAGCCAAGGCTTCTACCTCCGTCGTCCGGTGACCTCAGGGGCTCCATGGCTGCCTGGCTGCGCTGACGTTCCCGTGAATAGGCCTAAGCAGTCGAACTTTGGGCTCGAGCTCAGACGAGGCTGTCCGGCCAGGACTCTACCTCAGAACCAGCGCTTCGAATGCTGCGTCAGCTGGTCCAGCGTTTGCCAGCAGCCTAGGAAGGCTGCTGATCCTGCCGGTCAAGTAATTGCTCGACGCGAACAGCAACGACAACGACGACTTCATCGACATCTGTGTGTTGCACCTAGGCATCTGGTCACGGACTTTGGTGAAACCACGCTCCTTAACGACTCTATAAGACAAATTGGGTGTAGGAACTGACTTGTAGCATGGGAACGATTAGAAACTGAGCGAATAACGTGTGCATTTAGTAGAAGCTTTATCTCAGGGTTAGCATCGGTTGTGTCTTGTATTGTAATCTATCACCTTCGTTAGGTTTACGTGCTCTCATGTTGATGTAAATAAATGTTGGTTCCAAACAGACTCGTCCTTCGGAAAGTGTCCTGAGGTGGCATCTCGAACCTTCCAAGTGAACAACAGAACCTGCACATTGTGCGGAGTAAAACCACAACCTTACAGTCATACTGGTAACAACTGGTGTAAACATTGACAGGTGAGTACAGGTAATATGGGAACTCTCTTTGCTGTTGACTCTAGTTTATGTTGCCTTTGTTTGTGAAAATGGCACCACACAAATCGAGAAGGGCAGAGACACAAGTTCATTTGCATACTTTTGGTTCTAACTGCTGGCACCATCAATTTTTTTTTTTTTTTTTTTTCAGTTCGCTGCTGAGTACTTAACACGTCAACTGCTGCAGACCGTGGCACAGACTGATCAAAGCTACAGAGCTTCAATATTTGTTTCTTTCATTGGCATGCCACTCTAGGTAAGATGGTGAAGGATGAAAAAAAAAAGAGCAGCAAAACAAACAAACTTTGCAAACTTTTGCAGATATATCGCTAAAATTTTACACAGTCTGTATTTTCTTCAGTAGGAGTGGCAGAAGCCCAGTATTATGCACAGTATCAATACGTATTTGTGCAGCATCACCTGCAGTAAGAGCTAGCAGATATATTATGTATAAAACCAGTGAAAAAACAAAAAGATGATGTGAAAAAAGACATCAGTACTGGCTAGTTCATAGCGGTACTAGTTTTGTGTGCACCACACTGTCTGCCAGTATGAAAATAGAAACCATTTGAATGTAAGTATTTTAGCTAGAAATTTCAGTCAGTTTTGTTGTCTCCTACATGTGTTCATTCATGTTTTCTGCAAATTTTTTGAGTTTTTAACAATGCGCTGACCTGCCTATTCACTGCTTTTTTATTAGTAGAAGTGTTTGTGAAGCAATCTCCGGCAGAGTGTTTCACAGTTGTCTTATCTAGAATAAGGTAATGCAGGGACTGAGTAATACTATTTATGTACATGATTTGGTGCAATCAAAGTGTTGCCGACCACGTTGGCATTACCATGTTGGTCAAGTTCTCCTTCCAGTTTTATCTATTGAATTTTTACTGCTGGGTTTATTTTTACTTTCACTGCTGGTTCATGGGTAAATAGGAGAGCATAGTGTCAGTCAATCACAGCTATTAGCTGTGTGATTGCACTCCCCACACAATTTTTTTTGCTGTAACATCTGGTAAAACTTCAGGTTTCTACTTATTGGAGCTACTATTCAAACCGATTCACAGCTTCACACATTTTTTTACCCCTCTATAAACTTCACATAAACACTTTGTGATTCTTTTATTGGATGCTGCCAGATACTGTAACCAGAGATAGGCATCAAAACAATTACAGGCATCATTTAGATGCAGGGACAGAGCCCAAAACAGCTATCACCATATGAGATTTGTGGCCTAAAGCACACCTGAAGAAAGAAAAAAAAAAGAAAAAAGCATACTCCTTATAGCCATCCAATTTTCATTTAAGATGTCGTAAACCTAATGTAATATATTTGATGCAGCACATGGTAGGCATACTTATTTTTCTATTGCTATGCATTTAACTAGGGAGTCATCCGAGTTCAGACTCGAGCATGGCAGCAGTCGTATCTGCCAAAAGCCCTTGGGGTCACAATTGATCAGATTATACCAAGTAAGCTCTGCTGTATTTCACCTTGTTTTTTGCATGAATGCAAACACACTGGATATGACCTTCCCACAAAGACTTCTTAAGAGCCACTCTTTTGGCTTCACTGCTTAGACCTCAATGTCAAATTACCACCGCAAAAACATCTTACACTCCCACCAATTCTAAAGAGCTTATTTACAGGGAGATAGGAAAGGCTAATGTGGCACTGAGACACAGAACACCTAAACACAGACACCACACAAAACCAGTTTGCATGGTGGCAAGACTGTTCACGGCTGGAATATTTACAATAATGTGTGTGCAGTTCATTCTGGTGGCATCCAAAATTTTAGTTATTGCCATTATACAGTGGTACTTATGGTGATGCTGTGAAATCATACAGCTTCAATAAATAAGACATCTAAAAAATTGGTGCGTGATTGTATCTGACGTTTTCTTTGTACAAGAACATGCACTGTGAGTAGAGCTGTGAATAGCTAAATTTTGGGTGCGAACTGAATTGGAGCATTTAAGTGTGAGTGTGAATCGAATCTAATATTTTTCAAATATATCTCTAATACTTTTAGAATAGTTTTTGAATTCTTTGAAGTGAAATTGCAGATAAAAAAAAGTTGGAGACGATTCCTAAGCATATTCGTCTGAGATAGCAGCGTGAAAGTGTTTCTTTTAGCTAGGTTGATAAAGTGCTGGTGGGGTGGTGTTTCATAGTTGTTTTATCAAGAATGAGGTAATAGACCGAGTAATATTCATGTACATCATTTGGTGCAATCAAAGTGTTGCCAACCACACTTCACGTGTGAAAAGCACAGGTGCTACTTTCTCCTCTTTCAAATTCTGAGGAACCCCAAATGATATGACAGACAAGGGTGAGTTCCCCTTGAGTCCGGATTTCTAAATCTGCCCTAACAGAAGTCAATACTATATAAGAGCATATAAAATTTGGGAAGGATGCTAAAAATCTTTGGACTCTAAATTTTTGGACTTCCTGCCCGAATATAGGGTGCAAAACAGCATTAATTGAGCCTGTACCTCTGCCACATCTGTAATCTCCATGTTGAAATCAGTGTTTTATTGAGTCAATACCTTTGTGATCATAGCAGAGCCTGACGGGCAACTTTGTTGTGATACGAGTGTGATGGGGTGAAGCATATTAAAAATCTGAAGGGGCCACTGCCATTCAGACGTCGATTGTACTTGCCTTAGGGAAGTTGGAATAGCTTGAATAGTGAAATTCCAGTGTGAATAAAATTGAACAGCAAATACTATTCTAAAAATATTCGAAATTTCAAATATTTGCATAAACATAATTTTACAAAACATAAAAACGAAAATTTGCTGCACAATAGAGCATACTGCATAAATTATAAATGGCTTATTTTACATTTCGGCCGGAGCGGTTGCATTTCGATGGAGGGGAAATGGTATAGGCCCATGTACTGTGCGATGCTAGTGGACACCAGGTGGTCAAAACTTCCGGCACCCTCCACTACAGAATCTCTCGTAATCATATAGTGGTTTTGGAAAGTAAAACTCCAAGTATTATTGATTAACTTTTATATTTACTTTGTTCTATCTAATTCATTTGTTACATGCATGTTCTTTACAACGCGGTTCAGCTGCAACACTCTCCAGAATGTACAAGGTATAGAGGAATAACGCAGAGTTTCAGGTGTATGATGGGCACCAGTAATAAAGTAGTTAAAAAAAATTGCATTATCACCCACATAGACAGATTTCAAAGATACATTAAATACAAAAAGCAAATATGGGCACTCAACTGAGCACAGAGGCCTTGTATGGACACTGGAGGCACGCATATGGCCGTTCACCAGTGTGTGTCCTAAGATGACGCTGCAGGTCACAGCTGATGCGGAATCGAGCACTACACTGGGGGCATGGAAAGGGTGTATCACCGGTGTGCATTCGAAGATGCACAAGAAGTTGATTTTGGTGGCGGCCAGCAAAGTTGCACATCTGGCACCTGCACAAAGGGCAAATGTCATAAAAGGCCATGCAAAGATCTCGCTCAACTAAAAAATTGTTTACAATTTGGCAAGCATCACAGCTAAATACACCCCACATGAATGCAACTTGTGCTAGTTTCATGATTTTGCTAGCCCTAGCCACTTGCATATGAGTTTGCCCTGTGTTATGTTTGAGACTAGCGGCAAGTGAACATGGCTAGTGATTCAGGAAGTTGCTTTCTTTTTATTATCACATATGAACACACAAAAGGGAAACATGCCAGACAGTTTGAAATTTATTGCACTAAGCACTTTAAAGGGGTCATGAACCACCCCTCTGGCTTGGTGAGAAAGTACACCCAGCAAATAGCAGGCAATGCTATAAACAGCTCAGCAAACACTTGCAGTTGTGCATGGCAAGGAATGTTTATAAGCACAGTGCAAAGTTGCCATCTTCTTTGTCAGCCTCTTATCATATAAAGGCTTCTGCTTAGTCTCTCTGGAGCTGCCTTCAGCTGCCTTCATAAATCGAACAACAGGTAGGATGCCATTGGCCGACAGCTGACATAAATCAAGAGTGGCATTCGGACCAAATAGATGTCTTGCTAGAGTATGGTGCCACATGCTGGTGCCGTGCTCTATAGTCTGCTGACATTGCACAATGAGCCACACCCACACACAAGAATTACAATCGGAGAGAGTGACAACGCTTAATCATGCATGCTCGAAGCCATGATCTGTGCTGATGTAACTTCTTCCCCTTGTGCCATCGCTTCCTGTGTGCTTCATCCTAATGAGTGTGCTGGAAGCACACTCATTAGGATAAGAGAAGAGAGAAAGTGCTTAAAGTGCACGAGAAATCCATGTAACTATGCTTGTTCTTGATGGATTCTAGAAATGTTTACAGCAATAGAATCATGATACAATAAAATCAGATACTGAGGAGGTTTCACGATTACATAAAAAAAAAGTGGTTCGGAACCTCCTTCAAAGCATAATTTATATTAATAAATCTCAAGGTAGAGTATGCGCTTGCAAAAGTTCAATGAAGTCAAGAGGCTTTTAAATACATTGAAAGAATAGAAGGCCGACCAAAAATTGAATTTCGTTTCAGTTAACCAAAAGTATAAATTATCAGAGTTTGAATTATCAAGAGTCTACTGTACATGCTTGTTGGGCTCGAACTTCGTGCGTTCCCCGAATACCTTATGTTACCCACCCAGCGGCCGGTGACCCCTCGCCAACAAGGAAGCAGGGTCACCGGAATGCGGGACGATGACTGTCTGCTGGCCACAAAGGACGCGACAACTCCCGTGCCGCTGTCGGGCTCAATTATGGCGCCTTACAGAAGACCAAACCAGGCTGCAGGTGGCCGGTACACGTGGAAGGTACACGTGGAAGGTACACGTACGCGTCCGCCGGACAATGAGAATCAGCGGAGGCGACGGCATTGGCGCAGGGGCCAATTGTATTGATGGCCTGTCAACCCGGCATCGCGGGAACTTTCTCGGAGGCGCTTTTCCACGACCTGGCAACACCCGTCGTCGACCATTCCGGGAACCGGTGCGAAAGAAACCCGAGCGACGGCGGAGAACCGATGAGTGGGCAAGAGGCGGTGAATCTTCGAGGTTGTGGCGAGGAGAGACACATCGGTGCGTTTTGATTGGACTATAAGAGTGGTGCGTTTTGATTGAACTGTAAGAGTGGTTGAATGGGGGGACAGGGGATAAAACCAGGGGTGCAGGGACGGTGAAGGGGAGAGAAGAGAAACGAATAAACGTCTCTATATCCAGATGATGTCGGAGCGGTCATTTCCTCAAGGTGCCAGCAGATGAAAAGTTCTCGTCTTCGGCTTCCTTGGCGGCAGCAGCAAATGTCGCGCAACAAGCGAGAGGCGAGTGGAAAGAACCAAGCGGAACGTAACTCGCGCAGTCGAGCAGGATCTGCATGGCTGAACTGAGGAGGACAGCGGGGAGCGACATCGGCCGAGACTGACGACAACCACCTTGAACTGACTACCACGCTGCGGGATCAATGAAGCAAGGCTATAGTCCACCGGATTCCAAGGAGGAAGAGCGCACCGCAAGGCTACTTCAGGCGGGTACCTCTTGATTTTATGTTGGGCGCAGGCGATGACAAAGCATTACAACTTGCGAGACAGAGAAAGGGACAACTCGGAAATGAACGGGGACGGGGCAGGAAACTTGCAGGCGTTGGGAGTCGCCGACAGCGGCACGGGGGGTCATGGTAGTGTCACGTCAGATACGGCGTCGGAACAGCAGCTAGCGCTGCTCCAGCTTCAATTAAAAATTGCTGAGGCGGAAACGGAGAAGCAGCGTTTGATGCTGGAAAGCCAGCGGCTACGAGCCCGTAATGGGGCAGAGTCCAACGAGAGCGATGACAGCGTAGCGCTTGGCGGAAGGTCAGAGGAAGACAGGCGACTGAAATTCGCAAGCTTGTTAAGGGGTGTACTGGCACCAATGCCGAACCAAGAGGCGCTTGCGCCAATGTGGTTCGAGGATGTTGAGGCAACGCTCGAGTCGTATGAAGTTCCGAGCGAATGGTGGGCCGGGCTAGTTTTGCCACAGTTGAGTGAAAGGGCACGCGGGCTGCTGTGCAGGCTTACAGCAGAGGAGCGCAAAGCTTATGTTAAGCTTAAGTCAAGCATTTTGGAGGGTCTCAGGCTTTCGGCGGCGGAGTACAAGAGGCTGTTTGCGGGATCGGAAAAGGGAGAAAGGGAGTCCTGGGATCAGCTTGCCGTACGCCTTGAGAATTATTTCGACTATTATGTCCAGAGTTCAAAGGTAGGCACGTTCGAGGAACTCAAGCAGCTAGTCGTCGCGGATCGCTTGAAAGAATGTTTGAGCCCGGAAGCGAGAGCGCACGTCATTTGTAATCAATAGGAGTCCTTTTTGCTGCCCAGTGGCATGGCTAGGCTCGCGGAGAGATTCGAGGAGAGCGAAAAGTGCAAGGCAGCACAAAAGAAGGCAAATGTAGAGGAGTGGCAAAAGAAATCTAAAACAGCGGTAGATACACCCACGAACGGAAACGGGAAAAGGCGATGTTTTGAGTGTAGGGGTGCCGACCACATTGCCAGAAATTGCCCCAATAAGGGTTCAGGTGCAAGGCAAGGCACTAGGCCAGCAGGACAACTAAGCGGTCCAGTGGTCGCGAGGGTGACGGCTTCTGCATTCGGGTCAGAAATAGCAATGACAGACAAGTTGTGGCAGCGTAAAGAGCAGAAACAACCCTCACTGGAAACTGTAACGCTTAAGAGCTCAGGTCGATCATTAAATGCCGTGGTAGACTCAGGAGCGGAGGTGAGCGTTATCAGAAAGGCAGTGGTACCTCAGTACGATGGTACGGGTTTGCAGATAAAATTGACGGGAGCGTTCGGGCAACAGGTAACCGCTGAGTTGGCTTACGTGCCGCTCATAGCTACTGAAGGAAGTCCTTACGTGATGTCCGAGGCGGTGCAGTCAGCCGTGCTTTGTGCAATCACAGATAAGCTGCTAGACAGCACCGACGCGCTGGTCACGCCCAACGATTATGCACAGCTTCTCGAGGAAAGGGTTAAACGTGACATAGTGTCAGACGAGTGTTCAGCAGTCGAGGAGACCGAAGCTATAGTAGAGCTGTCGGATGAGGCAGGCGAGGAGCAACGGGCGATGGCAGGCGTCATAACCGCGGAGAGCAACAGCGAAGGTTCCGAGCCGGTCAAAAGCAAACGAAAGGAGATTCGTGAAGATCAGGAAGCAGACCCGGCTTTGCGAGATGCTTGGGCGCAGGCAGAGGCCGGAACGCATGGTACGCTAGTTCAAAACGAGCTATTGTATCATCAGGAACACCTCGCGGGTCGCATTTGCAAACAGCTAGTGCTACCATCGCACAGGCACAAAGAAGTGCTGAAAATGGCTCACGATTCACCATGGGCAGGTCATTTAGGAGAGCGGGAAACACTACAACGAGTGAAAAGCTCATTTTACTGGCCGCAGATGTGGCGAGATGTAAAGGAGTACGTAGGACGCTATAACTTGAGGGCCACAGACAAACAGTTTGTCACAGGGGACCAAGTACTATGGCTCGAGAAGGAAGGAGAGGGGAAGCTAGTGGCGAAGTGAAAGGGACCGATCACAGTGGTCGCAAAACTGCGACCGTACAGTTATTTAGATGAGCTCGAGAACGGTTCACGCAGAACCATTCACGCTAACAAGCTTCGCGCATATCACGCCCGAGTAACTGCAGTAGGAGTGATACTCGGGGCCGATCCAGAGAAGGTCAGGGCGATAAAGGAGATCCCGGCTCCCAAAACAAAGGGACAGCTTCATAGTTTCTTAGGGCTAGCCAACTATTATAGGGACTACGTGCCCGAGTACTCCAAAGTCGTTATGCCTCTGACTAACCTAACTGGCCAACGTATTCCGCAGAAATTACCTTGGAATACAGGGGCGCAGGAAGCTTTTGACAAGGTGAAAAACTATCTAGTGCAGGCGTCGGCGTTGCAGGCACCAGACCCGGGGAAAGAATTTATCCTCGCCACAGATGCATCCGATTACGCCGTGGGTGCGTGCCTGGCACAGCAGTATCTGGTGGGCAAGGAGCGCCCTATCGCTTTTCTGAGCAAGAAGCTTAGCCCGGCTCAGACCCGATGGGCCACAATAGAAAAGGAAGCTTATGCAATCATTTGGGCACTGGGGAAGTTGGATGCTTGGCTGTTTGGCGCTAAAATCAAGGTGATTACCGATCATAACCCACTCAAATTTCTGACTCTAACCACTCCGCAGAGCACTAGGCTGACACGCTGGGCGTTGGCACTACAGAAGTATAACCTGGAAATTGAACACAAAAAGGGGTGTCTGAACGCTAATGCCGACGCAATGTCGCGGTTAGTGACTCCTAACGATGACGCAGAAAAGGGACGGCGAGTTAAGCGGGGTGTATGCTTGTCAGCGCGTGCGCGCGACGGAGTCAACGAGGTACGAGTGACAGTTGGTGCCTCACGTGTCGAGCCAGTGAACATGTGTGCATATGTGGTTGTGTTTGTGTCGCATGTCATAGATACAGTGCAACACAGTTGGAGGGGAGGTGTTGGGCTCGAACTTCGTGCGTTCCCCGAATACCTTATGTTACCCACCCAGCGGCCGGCGACCCCTCGCCAACAAGGAAGCAGGGCCACCGGAATGCGGGACGATGACTGTCTGCTGGCCACAAAGGACGCGACAACTCCCGTGCCGCTGTCGGGCTCAATTATGGTGCCTTACAGAAGACCAAACCAGGCTGCAGGTGGCCGGTACACGTGGCCGGTACACGTGGAAGGTACACGTACGCGTCCGCCGGACAATGAGAATCAGCGGAGGCGACGGCATTGGCGCAGGGGTTAATTGTATTGATGGCCTGTCAACCCGGCATCGCGGGAACTTTCTCGGAGGCGCTTTTCCACGACCTGGCAACACCCGTCGTCGACCATTCCGGGAACCGGTGTGAAAGAAACCCGAGCGACGGCGGAGAACCGATGAGTGGGCAAGAGGCGGTGAATCTTCGAGGTTGTGGCGAGGAGAGACACATCGGTGCGTTTTGATTGGACTATAAGAGTGGTGCATTTTGATTGAACTGTAAGAGTGGTTGAATGGGGGGACAGGGGATAAAACCAGGGGTGCAGGGACGGTGAAGGGGAGAGAAGAGAAACGAATAAACGCCTCTATATCCAGATGATGTCGGAGCGGTCATTTCCTCAAGGTGCCAGCAGATGAAAAGTTCTCGTCTTCGGCTTCCTAGGCGGCAGCAGCAAATGTCGCGCAACAAGCGAGAGGCGAGTGAAAAGAACCAAACGGAACGTAACTATGCTCATAACTTGTGTTGTCCTCACTCTTCTGAAAGCCACACACACACTAACACAAAAAAGAATAAAAGCAGTCACCCAGAGTTTGGCTTATCAAAACTGTTAGTACCTCTTACTCCAATGAGACTACTTGACTATCCTCATTAGCCTACTCTTTACCAAACATTACATCTCTAACTTCGAGCTGTATTCTGTAGGGACGGTCATCAATGTTGCATTGCCTGGTGATATACTGCAACGAGGAGGCTGCTTGGGCTTGGTTGTTAGAGCATACTTGACAAGAAATTTTTTTTCAGTGTGCTGAATGCTTGAAGAAAAAAGGGAACAAGACAGGACAGAGTAAACTGTTCTAGCACTCTGTCCTATCTTGTTCCTCTTATTGCGATAGCAAGTATATGAACACTCTCGGCTAGATTTCACCGCTGGTGTCGGCGTTGCTGTCTCTCACCGTATATATATATATATATATACTCTATATATATATATATATATCAAAATGCAAGAAAGAAAAAAAAAACCCAGAAAAACACTCCAGCGTGTGAAATCGAAACGTGGAACCTCTGCATTGTGAAAGCGAGGCATTAACCACTGAGCCACCCCGGAGCACATCCTTCACCGTTCAAATGCAAGCTATTTATATTTACCACTTACCGGTGCTCACGAGCATCTTGAGGGGAATTGTGTTTTCAGCATCACCAGTAAGATGGGCAATGAGCTCGTGTCGCCACATCGCGCCGCGGCGCCCGCTCTAATCACCTACGTGTACTTTGCTGAGATGGGGAGCGATGTTCCCTCATGCGCCCTTATCTCGCGATGGCGAGGAGAGGAGTATTGTACGTCTTGGTTGGCCTTGGGCTTTACCTGGAACAATTCTGCTGTAGTTACTGGGCGCACAAAGGTCACTGCAATCATAGCAGTCTCCGTTTGTGAAAAGCGCGCACTTTTCAGACACAGCAAAGTAACAAATGAGATGCTTATTCGCATGCATCTGTACCTGTGAGTACGTTTTATGCGTCATTTGTGCGTCAGCAACGCGGGGCAAGTTTCGATCTGCTTTCTATTCTGCGGATGACCTTTCAATTTCTTGCTATCGTGTTCATTGCTTCGCCTTTGCGGCAAAGCAGTGACTTTTTTTCTTCAAGCATTCTGTACACTGAAAGAGGTCTTCCTTGTCCAATATATACAGTTAAGTCGTTTTTCCTCACATATTGCTTATGTCCCCTACAAGGCTTCTATTTTATGCACGGGCCATACAGAGGTCAGCATGGTTGTGCAGCAGGGTGAGAGTAGTGTGACGGGTAGTACGTACAAGTGTAGTTCACACTGTTATACCTACTAGTTAAAAGTGAGCCTACGTGTGTAACATGAGGTTCAGGTTTTCTTTTCTTTGTTGTGTTCGGGAAGTGGTCTTCGCGTAAAGCAGAGTTCAGCAGAACTGTTCCATGGACGCCTTCCTGTTGCCCAGAATGCAGCTCAGTTCATGAGACAATATTTGCAAACAACATAGGCTTGCATTTCTGGCAGCAGCTAGCTCAATTGCTATGGTGAGTTGAACTTCCACGGTTCCACAATGTGTTACATTTACATGCTGTTGGTTGTATAGTGTAGCAAGCAAGACATCTATAAAGAAGGTGCAAAAGAATGCTCTTTTGTTGGTTAAGCTACTCAGTACAATGTCCCTTTGTTGATTAAGCAGAAAAGATCCCAGAATCTTTAACAAACAAAAGCAAGCACAGAGCAGATGGGTTTTATTTTTCAGTTTGGTAAGAAAACTGCATTAAGTGTGCCAGCAAAAGCATGAATGAAGAGACTTATAGACATGTTGTGTAAGCCACCACACGGAGAAATATGGCTGCAGCAAACAAAGTGAGCCATATAGACTGAAATTGATCCTCAGTGACTACAGCATTATCGTTCAACTAGGAGGATTGGCAAGATTTATGTACACATGCGTAGCCTTCAGGAAATCAAACAGCCTTTGTTTCACAAAAATGAGCTGCTTTAGACCGACAGATCCAAATGCACAAGAATAAGAGATACAAAATAGGACTGGAGAGTCGCGAGAATTATCACTACCAAGAGTCTGCAGGGCCAACCCTAGTGCCTCTAGAGCGAACAAACAGTCTCTAGTGAACTCTTCTTCACAAGACCTCATTCGTTTAGCCATTATGACTTGCTAAAAAGGTCAGGTGTAGATTGCACTAGTAGCACAAAGCTGATAGTTTGCCGTGACCGAGCATAGGTAGCAGTGTATGGGCAGCGAGCAAGGAAGGGCACAGCTGTGCCATAATGACTTCCTGGCACATGTGCAATAATGCATAGCTGGCGGCACAGCCGTGTGTTCGTCAGGTGCAGCAACTCGCGAGTGCGAAAGAGCGCGCACCTGCGTCGTAGGTTTTTAGGCAATGCGAGGTTACTTCACCACTTCAGAGTTTTTTGATCCGCGGTGATAATTGAGGCCTGCTTAAACAGCTCCGCTGTTAAAAGGTCTGTGCGCTCCCTCTTCCTATAATTTACATTGCAGCTATTAGAGTGGACACTGAAAAGACCTCACCAGGATAGTGAAAGGTGACCACACACTTTTTATTCAACAGGAATTCAGAAATTCTTTGGGCTTTGGCCTGTCCACAATGCCTTACACTTATGCCATACTAATTTCTTGTGCTTATTAATAAATAGTTCCTGAAAATTCTGCAACCTGATTTGTTGGACACAGGCTACATTCCACAATGATGATGAACATTTTTTCTTTCATGTGATGTTACTGATTGTTTTCCTTTTTTTTAGCAACATGCTAGCTGAGCCCATTCTATGTTATTTACTCTCAGTGTGGGAACGTTACTTCCCAGGCCACCGAAAATGTGTGTTTGCATATTGTGTTACAAGGTGTATGAAGAAAAATGCATCTGATGTTCGTTAACGAGGTCACAGCTGCATTTCTTGTGGCTGCGCACTCTGCTGCCACTGGAGGCTGAGCGTGTGCATATAGCAGCACAGCAGTGCTTGAGTGGCAACAGCTGACATAGCTTTGCGACTTGCCTAGTTGAAATCTCTGATGGTCAGTAGTGCCTTGAATAGTGTAGAGTCAACAAAGTCTGTGTACTTAAAGAAGCCCTGAAACACTTTTCCAAGAAACCATGGAATGAATTCACTGAAAGAGCTTATTGCGTTACTAATTCAATGTCGCAAAAATTTTAAGAATCCGTCCAGTGCGAAGGAGTTTCAAAAGTTTGTCGCATGCCGCAATTGCATTCTCTCTTCTCTCGTCCCGACGAAAGCACTGAAAGCTAAGCAGAGAGGAATGGCAAGAGTAAAGAAACTACGCCACCCACGCCTTGTGACCTTGAGCACTTTTTTTCTTTTAATGCGGGCCTTTTTCAGTGTGATCGCGCGCGCACGCATGGACAAGTCGCGGCTTCCTGCGGCGATCTCTGCAAAGAATGAGTGCGCCATGTTCAAATAAGCCAAAGGCTGATAGATGAGCTTGCTACGCATGATTTTTGAGCGTCTTCTGTCATTTGTCGAGAGAAAAGAAAGCAATTTTTGGCTGGCTGATAATTTATTGTGAATTCCAGGCCGTGTGCTGTGCTATAATATTTGGCTCGCGTGTTGTCGGGAGCCTCTACTACCGATAGGCAGCGTTTTCTGACCATGCTCAAAAAGTGTTGCAGGGCCCCTTTAAGAAGCAGTACATGCCAAGACACTGACCTGTATGGTTTGTCATCAGTGTGTACTCGCTGATGCATCTTCAACGTCCAACTGTCAGCTGCAGCATAATCACCTGCACGTATCACAAAAGCCCATCTGCAGTGATCTGTCCACCATTGAGCGTAATAATGCTACAAAATCCAAAAGAAAGAGAACTGCGACCCTTCATGTTAGTCATTTAAGTGGAAAAAGAGCAGAGAGAGCAGTTACCATGTATTGTTATGTGCTACCCTTACTAAGCATTCCCTGTGTCTTACAAGCAAAGTCAGCATGCTTGTTAAAGCAGCTTACATCATCCATAAAGGGGAAAGAGAAAGTTAGGCGGGCCGATGAGATTAAAAGTTTACGGCTCTAACGTGGCAATGAAAAGCACAAGACCGGGTTGATTGGCGAATCATGGGAGAAGCCTTTGCCCTGCAGTGGGCGTAGTCAGACTGATGATGACATCATTTTTATGAAAATTACTATGCTCGTCCTCTAAACATATGATTTACAATAAATGCTTGATGATTTTGATTTTACAGCATCATAAAAAAAATAAAAACACTGTACTACATTAATGTTGAATTACCACATAAAGTGAGTCAGGTTCTTTCATCATGGATACTTTCCGAAATGGGTTTTTGAGCCCACCTTGTGTGTGAAAAAAGTTATTGGTAATTGAACGCTGTCACACTTCCATGTGCACGTGGCTTTTTCCTTCTATAATTTAGATCCGGAGCCCTGGGCTATGGTGTTTCTCACAATCGTATCGTGGTTTTGAAACGTTAAACCCAACAATTATTATTATTTCATAAATTATAATCTGCACAGGAAGGGGCGTTGCAATGATAACATAAACGATTTTTGCAAAGACCTGCCAATCAAACTGAATTTTTTTTTTATCAGTCTGAGATCAAGAGTGTACAATGCGACTCTCCAACATACTGTTTTCCCCCAGCTTTCTCTCAAAAGCAATGGTATTAGAGCAATGAAGATGGTTCCTCTCTATTAGTGATAATATCTTTTACAGCGAAAACTGTAATCAGATCACAACAGCAACGGCAGTAGGGCAGATGTCCCCCGTCGCCACCAGTGTCCGTAACAGCTATAGTGTGAAATAAGAAAAACATCAATTGGAAAAAATTCTACAAGCCTCGGCCACTCTTGCTGACTATAATCATGAAAAAATCACAAACAAATCATTAGCACAGCGGGTAAAGTTTTGTTCCTTCAATGTCGATTTTTAACATGAAGTGATGGCGTCAGCCTGGCCGATAGATACCTTTGGTAGTTTTTCTTTCTATTTGCTGCAACCCATCACCAACCCAGCCATCAGTAAGCGACCCTCTGTGCTCTCGGCCATGGCTCTGGTGAATATAATGGTGTTTGAGGCCCTTATATTTAACAACCAAAGCAGTTTTCAAACCACAGCAAGAGCCTATTTTAGTGCAGTAGTTATACACTGCCACCAATGACGGTGTCCGTAACAGCTATTTCGAAAAATAAGTAAACAATGTAATAATTAGAAAAATGTTCTAGAAAGGGACCGGATTCGAACACAAGCCCTCAGCGTGGCAGTCAAATATTCTACAGCAGAGCATCACTAGTGCTTTAACTCTTTCATTACCACGCCTATACAAAACGGTTACCAGTGATTGATGCTTTGGATCGCTGATTTTGACATGTTGAATTTGTTTCTCATGCACTCAGCACATTGTAGTAGTTAGTCCAGCTACTCAATTTTTAGAATAAATTTCACTTTGCCCGTTTTGCCGACATTGTGAATTTTGACAGACCTTTGCGCGAACCACTGCGCGTGTGTTGTGATACAGTAACATCAAAGTTCTGTAATCAAAAGAACCTTTACAAGTCAAATATCAAACTGTTTTATTCTGTTCTAATCTATCAACTATTTTATTTTATTTTATTTTAAAAAAAACTGAGGTGTCAGCTTCACAATCTTACAGTGTTGAGTAGCATTATTTGCCAGAAATTTATGCCAGCTATTCAGTAGATAGCTGTTGCTAGGAAACAGAAAATTTATTTTATAAAAAATATTTTCAAAAGTACACCGCATGTATAAAGTGTGGAGGTGGCCTTCTCAGTCAATTTCTAGCAGCTTTAGTTTCTTCTGTATCGATATATCAGACGCAGGGCCGTATCTAGTGTATCTAGTGTCACTATACTCGCTCCTATAGCGTCGTCGTCATGCATGCATGGGTGCCCACCTGCACTGCAAAAAATATGCACTGCTCGAAGCTGTCTTGCAACCGCACCTGGATTAAGTGAGGATGGGCTTCGAGTCTAAGGATCACAGCACCTCAGCTTCAAGTTTTATGGTGACGATGTTTTGCATGAGCCTGAGACATCTGCAGCCGTTCATGGGTTTTTGTTTACGGCCTCAAGTTGTCTGTTCCACCGCAAGTACATGGCTGCTGACCTTTGTCCACAATCTTATAGGTATACTCTGGTTACTCGTCGCTGGGGCACGGTGTGCTGGCGCCGGCTTCTGAGCTTCTCCTGACAAGAAGGCCACCGGGGCACGTCTTGGCCCTGACTACGGAGCAGTGCAAAACATTTCAGAACTGTGTGGGATACTGTATTTTTTATAATACGATATGCAATACGATATTCCTTTGCAAAAATGCAAAGGAATATGCTTGGATGCATACATTAGAACGTCAACCATTACAGACTGAGGTGGCTCACATAGAGAGGTGATGCTAGAGGAAATAACGAAGCTCATTGGACATCTGATTTATAGAGGGGTTATTCACATCATGGGCATCCATTTATATTGAAACTCCTGCAGGCTCTTATCGAAAAGAAAAGAAAGAAAAACAAAATTTACAGAGAAAACTCTACGAGTTCACTTGTGTGTCATGAAAAGCAAGCAATGCTTCACCGGATGGCACAAGCGAAAAGGCAGCACCTCGTTTCTGATTTTCTTTGTCTATGTAAATACAAATATTTTGTACAACAAATTTTTTTTATAGTGTTTTAGGGTAATTTATCTTCAAAATGTATATTTTAAAATTTCTTTGTTTTTAAGATTTGTGAATATAGTACAGTGTTTCTTATTGAACTGCTTACCAGGTGGCAACCTAATATTACACTTTCAACATTTTTATTCATTCCAACATATTTTTGTTTCTCTCCAATATATATTTTTTTAAAACAGTGTTTCATTGTGCCAAATTTGGTATGTTCCAATGCTTGCTGCAGTGTTTTTCAAACTGGCAAACACTATCTTTCCGAGACAAATGAAAAATAACCATTTTCATGTGGTAGTGAAAAAGTTAAACTCCTTTGCATAAACACCCTACACAGGTGTCATGTAGGGCATGGAATTGTGTTAACATACGTAATATAGCATTATGGAAGAGTGAAATAACAACCAGGTGTCACACAAGCCTAATTGTTTAACTAGCAGGTTGTTGAATGCTTCTAACCCCTTATAAAACACTCAGCCATAATTCATAATTCTTCATTGTCATCACCAGATGCAGCATGAACAAGGTCCACATAATGCATTAAATATGTGTAGCGGGTACCTCGCTTATTTGTAGAATGACAAATAATGGGAGTGGGTGCTTCCCTACCTCATGAAAGTAATGACGGTCTATAGCGCAGTGGGTACCTTGCATGAGTACTTTTATTAGCTGCCCCAAGAGAGTTTACAATGAGCTCTAGAAAAAAATAATTTTTTAGCTTTCGCTGTGACTGTCCTGTGCATTCTGTGCAGGCATGGTGATTTTTGTTATTTCTGCTGGAGGCACTGCTAACTCACAAGTTAAAGGTCAAATTCCTGTAAAAAAGATTTTAATATAAGGAGAAAGCAATTTTACTGCGTTGATTTTACTAAGGTTCAATTGTATTTAATATTCTGAATACCGAGGGAATGCAAGCTGAGGAAATGTAAGCGAGGTGACTTACACTGGCTGCAGGTGAAGGGTTTTTCTCCCGTGTGCTTTCGCTGATGACTTTTCATTTTGTCTGATCGGCTGAATTCTTTCAAACACTCAGGACACTTGTAAGGCTTTTCTCCTGTATGAATGCGACTGTGTCTTTGCAAGTCCTTTTTATATCGGCCAGCGAAGCTGCATCCTGGATGGCTGCACTTAAACACAGCAGAAACCTCTTTAGGTCCATGTTTTTTCGATGCACCTGCATAAAAGTTAACGAAATGTACAATCAAAGAAAACTTCGCTCCTCTTGGTGCACAATACAATGTGTAGAAATTGCCATGTGAAGCTGATAAATACTGCTTGGATACATTTTAATGAAAACAAGACGGCGAGTTGCTATAACCATCAACACCAAATACACTGTACAGTGTCAAAGGGAAAAAGGTAGCAGCACAAGGGGTTAAGTAATGTTCCATGAATAACGAGGCACATTTACTGTATACTAGATACATAACAGTGGTTCATTGATGACTGATTCATTTATACCCCGAGCGGAGACAGATCTCAGTCCTCTTCTTCAGGCTCACATGACCATGGCCCAAGAAACTGTCAATATACATGTAGCATAATCCCCTGTGGCAGAGGCGCAGTCTTGGCACTTGAAGATGTGAATGTCACTGAGAGAGTTGTACAACTTCGAGCATGTGATGTGTATCGATTTGCTGGCCTGTAGGGTGGTTCAAAGTGATGAGGGGTCAGGAACTATTTCGTATGTATTGAGATTTAGCGTACGATGCCCTCGGTATAAACTTGCATATATAGAGAGTAGTTTTTTTGGCAAATCACCATGACAGGTTGTAGACAACAGCAGAACCGAAGAACCAGGCGAAAAGGGTGCACCTTGGTGTCGATTGTACAAACGCTGTTGGTTCTATTGAGAGGTCAGAAAATGAGTACGGGCTGTTTCCCGTGCAAGAGCAGCCAGGGTGACAGTGTCAAGGACATATTTTCTAGTCGGTGCTGAATGAAATGGAACGGCTGTATCTAGGGGCAATGTTGGTTCTCAGCCGAACAACAGGAAAGATGGCGACAAACTGGCAGTGCCATGGCGCAAAATGTGGTACGCAACTGTCATGTACCGTAGAGCAAGGTTCAAGTCGGAGTGGTCTGAAGAGACATACTTGACAAGCATGTCTTCAAGTGTTTTGTTCAGATGATCTGTGAGGCCATTTGTCTGTGGAAGGTATGACATAGTGAACTACTTTGTTTTATATGACTGCAGGATGTCCGCTATGGCTTTTGATAGGAATGTATGACCACGATACGCAAGCAGCCGCCGTGGAGCTCCACACTGCAAGATCACATCGTGCATTAGAAAATCAGTGACACTTATGTCCAAAGCTATCCACCTGTTGCCAGAAGAAGACCAGGAAAAAGGGGTCAAGTAAGTTTAAGACAATGCAAAAGACCAGTTCTGACGAAATGTTGAATAAATAAAGGCACCTGGAAGGAAGTGCTGATGGAGTTTTGCGGTGCTGACATTTCTCATGCGTTGCAACGTATCTTTTGAAGGAGGCTGCCAGCCCTGGCCAAAAGCAGCATCGGCAGATCCTGTCATATGTGCGTGACATACTAAGAAGATTGACAGTTAGGAGGTCATGAATTTTGAGGAGAACAGTCAAGCAGAGGTGTTTTGAAATAGCAACATACCTGCCAAGTTCAAGTATTTTGAATCCAGAAGATTTCTGCAACAGGGGGGGGGGGGGGGGGGGGGGGGCTACAATGAATTATTCTTCTTTTTGTTTTTTTTGGCACCAAAAAGAACCCAAGGACAAAAAACAAAAAATACATTGCAAAAAACAAGAGGGGGTGGGGCAATCAATCGCAAGTGCCATAAGCATTGCGATCTTAGAATTGCTTGGATTGGCCGAACACATGAGGGTAGGGTTTCCCGCTAAGATGAGAATCTCAAAGGATCAACACAACTAGAATAATCTGTTTTCATAGAAAAAAACTTGCGTATGTCTTCCTGGGACACACGTTAACGGTCGGGACGGCGCAGCTGACTGCCACAAAAGCGCGGGTCAAAGCCTTGCTCAATACTAGATTCTTTAGAAAGGAACACCAAAACGCATCTGGCCTTTTTTTACGTATTTACTGCCTTTAATCTACTGCTGCCTTAGCCACGTGCCCTCAGAGCTCATAGATCGCTATCGTGTCGCTGTGACCATGATTATGTTCGCGGCGGTTGCGGCAAATGGTAAATCCTTTTTCAATCCCCGTGCGCTTAGCTGCACACGCACCTTCAAAACTAAGTTGTTTTATGCCATCTATGATCGCATTTGCCGCGGTTTTGTCCGGGAGTTTGTGGAAAGCAGCGTTGCTTTGACTGGTTGAGTGCTGGACACACGCATACTTTCGGGGTTCTGGCAGTTACGTTGTCGCCATACATGATCGTGTCAAGAACGACTGCGGTTTCATGCACAGAGGTTATGGCAATGACAATCACATGCACTGTAGAAGACAGTGCATGTGCCGATCACACGCGTACTTCCAAAGCTTCGAGTATGTTGCTCTCAGCCTTAGTTTGACCGTTTTCGTTCTAAAGTTTATATCACCCGCTGCGATTATTTGAACTTAGGCCCAATGGACATAATAAAATTTGGCTGGGGAATTTCGCGAATTCATATCTGCCGTGGTTTCAAATCACCGAGACTCTACTGTACGTTTAGATGAATGCCTCTTAAATTCATTTATAATAAAATATAGTAGGTTCCAAAAGCCTGGAGCGAACTGAGCTGCTTTTTTGTCAATGCAGCCAGATCACGCACAGAAATTTAGATTTCCAGGAGATTTTCAGGACAACCATATAAACAGAAGAAACAGCCGAAATTTGGGAGTTTCCCGGCTAATCCGGGAGGCTTGGCAGGTATGTAGCAAGAAGCAGGGCTGGGCCATTTGGGTGAAAGTTGTGGTGGTATAGTGCACCATTTCGGATGAAAAAACGTTATCAGACATGTTGGAACATGATGATTCAAAGTGGTAGACGATAATATGCTAAGTCCACAAGGATGCATCATGGCATTGCTTGTCGGCAGAGTGGATCAGCTGAGAAACAATGAAGACGCAAGGATTAGCGCTGGTGTCAAAGATAGTGCTCAATTCATCGATGGGTATACAGCGCTGAGAAAGTCCTGTGCCCACTCTTTTAAAGATAGCTTTTCCAGTCAAGTGCAAAGATTGCAAGATGCAGGATACCCTGTTTCCATTGTTTCATTGGTACGCAAAAAGCTGTTGCAGCAGGTGAAGAAAAGATTCCAGGAATCAGCAGATCAAGAAAATTTGGCAAAACATGCAGTCATTCCGTACAAGCACAAGTTGGCCCAAGGGCTCAAGAACATTGGGAACAGAATCGGTGTCAATATTGTGTTTTCTGCCAAAAGTAAGCTTAGTGGAATGTGCCCCATGGTTAACAAGACTCTCGATGCAAGAAACGCAAAATTAAGAATAAACAGAAGTCCCAGAAGTATGTTCATCGTAAATGTGGCATTGTGCACAGAATTCCGTTCTCGTGTGATAGAACGTATATTTCACAGACGGGACGCTGTATTAACACTTGACTGAGGGAACACAATCCATCTTTGAACAATGTGGCTAATTCTAATTTAGCTATGCACCATTGATCATGTAGGTGCTCCCCTGTTTTCACAAGCAAAGATAATTTACAAGACTTGGCATCAGATTAGCCAGGAGGTAATAGAAGCCTATCATATTGTTAAACAAAAAGATAAGTGTGTAAGCCAAGATTCAGTCAATTTGTCTGAGAAGGAATGTGATTTTCTGCGGCAGGTTTTTTCATGAATTCATCTTACTGATACAAGACTGCAGCGGCAATCTATGTCACGTGTACCTGCATGTTGCGTATCTGTACGTGCAATTTTCAATAAACCATTCAGTTGCTAGTAAGTACTTGTTGCATGTGTGGTTTCTTCTCCTTTCAGTCTACTCATTTTACTGTTCAATGCTACATTAAAAATGCTTGTTCGTTTCTGTTACAATATGTGAGATTCGCCCTTAATCGAAGAAAAGCTTGACGTACTTGACTTCTTTTCCATCTAATGGCAAAATAGAGGTAGACACTTGTCGTCAGGTGCCTAGCTAAAAATTTTTTTTGAGGGGGGGGGGGGGGGAAGGGGAGGCACAGCTTTGATTTCGGGAGCACCACTCCCTTAAAATGGCCATTTTTCGCTCTGTATGCCATGGCGAAAAAAAATTGATGGAGAAGGGTGGCACGTGCTTGGTGTGCTGTTCCCTGGCTACACTCCTGCTTGTCCTCAATGACTGGCACCAAATGTAAATACGGATGTCTCACTGTGCACACTTTTGAGATGTCGCTCCTTCATCATCATTCGAGTCTGAATTGTAAGTAAATCCTTGTCTGACAAACTGACATCCAATGAATCAGATTCTGATTTGCCACTTGGGGAATAGTCTACATTGGAAGAATCACCGCTTGACTCACTAGCAACAGAGAAACTGGTGCACACTTCCATAGCATAAGTGAATTGCGTGAGTGTGCACACAAAAGAAAACTGTATGCTTGTGTGCCCGTCCGCCCAGAAAGCAAAACGAGTGCAAATGCTATAATAATCTTTCGTCTTATTACCAACGAGACAGAGTTAGTTTTTTTCGAACCTCCGAAACAGGCAATGCAACCACAGCGGCATCGTTTGTGTAATTGGGGGCCACACAAAAACAAATGTAATTGCACTTTGGGCAGCAATAAATGAGACAGTAACCCTTTGAAAGATAGGAAACTAGACAGTTGTCAGCTTCGTGGGCACGAGAAGTGATAACCATGGGAAGGGCGAAACCGAAACCAACCACATTATGCAGGCGCTCGGATGCCACTTTGGATAAAAAAAAACAACTGAGAGACATTGACACATGAAAAAAAATTCACGTATTGCCTAAGTGTGGCAGCACATGCCAAGCAAGAGAAATGATAAAAAAAGACTTGCATTAAACATAAAAGCAATGATGCACATGTACGGTATAAACCCTCAAAGGGTTGTTAAAAAGAAATTCATGCCACGTAAATATGGACAGAACTTGGGACACAGCCCAGACAAGAGCAAGGCATTTATGCTCTGTAACTGAGAGCTGTGCTCTGCAGGTGTGAGGGCAGCTAGGATAGGTGATAAAGCAGTCGTGTCCCTGTTAGCATTGGGGCTCTCATGCATCTGATCCCCTTCTTCA